GCCGGGGCCGCCTCAACTCGTTCACTCAGGGAATCCTGCCCATCGCCTTCTCCAGGCCGGCCTCGCAGAACTACTGCGCGCTGGAGCAGCCGGGCCCGGCGGGCGGCACCGGCGCCTGGGAGCAGCTGCAGCGGTCCCGGTGAGTATCCGGGCTGGACGCGCGCCCGGCCTCCGGGCGGCGCCTTGGGCTCCCCCGCTTCTCCGCGCCCGGCCGGATCCTGGGCTTCTAGCCCGTGCTCCCAGCCAGGAGGGCGTGCGAACGAGGGTGGCCGCACGTGTGGCCGCGCGGGAGCGCCACGCCTCTGCACTGGGGGTCGGGACCCGGAAGCGCGGGAGCCCATGCAAAAGACGACACCCCAACCTTCGGTCGCCAGGAGGGGATCGCGAACCTCCTGGAACGCGGAGCACCGCGTGCGGCACCCGGCAGGCTTAGTTAAGTGCGGGCCAAATGGACTTGGGGAGCCCGCCCCGGGTCCGGCCTGCAGCTGTGCGCGCGTGTGAGCCTCAAACTGTCGCAGGCGCGCCGTGAGTCCTTTCCTGCGAAGTTCTTGCCTGGCGCTCAGAGTATTCCCAGGGGCCCCGTACGAATTTGCGGCTTCTGTTTTGCTTTCCTGAATACCGTGCTCAACATTCCCAGGAACCAGCCCCTGGAGGTGGGGACAGGGAGAAAGTCGGGCTTGAGGATGTTTTATTCCCAGAGGAAGCTTCTAGAGTTAGTTCAAGGTATGGACTTAGGTTCTATACAGGTATCCGGATTTTTGGCAAAGTGGACATTTGCTTAGTGTCAGAGAACTCGCCAGAGCTTGTCATGTTTGTCCAGCCACGTGGGGTGAGGTCTGTGTAGGGCAGTGGGACCAGAGAGGAGGGAGTGGACCCTACGTGGGGGGGTGGGGGGGCGGGGATTTCACCTCCTTCACCTGGCAGTGTCTTCTATGTTAATAATTCCTCCCAGGAAGCTAGTTATAGCATTGACTGCACCCTGGTCCGATTCATTTGACCTCTTCGAGCCTCAGTTTCCCTTTCTGGGATGGGGACTTACCCAAATTCTGCAGAGTTCACACGCGGAGGGATAACATTTTCTGTTACAGCCACTGTCCGCTGAGGCTTTGGCCTCAGTAAGAAAGTGGCATTTTGGAAACCTTCACTTCCTCGCTCCAGGGATAAGTGGAGAACAACCTGAGCTGGTGCTGAAGGTTGCTCTGGCCTCCTGTCTTCCCCAGTGGGTGAACTCGCGGTATACATAGCATGGGAGCGTACCTGTACGTGGGCCACCGTCTGCGTGTAGAGAAGGACAGGCAGCCGGCTGCTGCCCCAGTGGACTGCGGATCCGTGCTGCGCACAGGTGACAGTCGGCGCTGGCGTTTCTGCCTGGAGCACGTGTGGCATCCCTGCTTTCCGGGAGCGAACACGTAGCTGTTTCTGAGCACTTGCACTTCACAAGCTGGTCTTCATGACTCTAGTTTGAGCCTAAGCCCAGTTCCGTCAAGGGGGTCATGACAGGAATTGTAATAAGCATACATGTTATCCTAAGCCAGTGTGGAAGACTGGCCTGTGTCTGGTGACAGGCATGTGCGTGCAGGCCCCGCCCCCCCATCCCCTTTAAAGCATCTGGAGATCAGATTACCTCACACAATCCGCTCCAAGGAGCTCCCTGCAGGGGCTAGTGAGGATTTCGCGGTTGTGTACTAAAGAGCCGAAGAAAATCCAGAATGTCAGCGCTGGTTCTATAAATGGGAACCTCAGACTTGTATCGATTCCCTCCGGTCCCACCCGCTCATGTTGTTTAAGCCGCCCACCCTACAAACATACAAGATGCCTCCTTCCCTGACAGCCGCATTGATCTACTTCTGAATAATCCATATTGGCAAGTAGATAGGTTTTATCCTGAGCATTACAACTGTCAACAGAAACAGCACCAAATTTAATATACCAAGTCGAGGTGAAACAGATTTAAGAAGGGCTTCAAGGGCGAGCTTGGCTGTGAGAGAGAGGCTAGCTGCAGATTTGTTCAGGCAATGGATTTTAAATACCCTGGGCTTTGTTTCCGGTACTGTGCTGCTGCCAAGAACGTTGGCTGAAGTGTGCTGCTGCTTTTGTGATCGTGTAAGAGTCGGGTCAGCTGCCTCGTTCAAGTGCGATTTGGAACTCAAACTCATTTGAACCAGGCCTAACCCCTGTTTCAGAAATGTGATCAGTCTGTCTGGAGTGCTTTCCTTCAAGGAAGCCTGTTAGCTCCTGGGGTGTGCTCCTGGAAAGTTGTTTTTATGTCCAAATACACTTTCCTGGGATTAAACCAGATGACAAGCCTGTTGCCCTCAGGTAGATTCTGACTTTTAGTGACGCTGTAGGAAAGAGTACAACTGACCCATAGGGTGTCTTTCCTGCTGCGCATCTTTCTCCCCTGAGCAGCTGGTCTGTTTGAAGCCCCCACTTCTGGAGGCGTGCTTAACCTCTGTGCCACCAGGACTCATTTCTCTGGGATTAGTTTCCTACTATTTAGGGAATTCCACACACCTTGCTACTCAAAAAATGTGGTCTCTGACAGAGTATTGGGGGGATGGTGATAGCAGATTAAAATGATCAATCTGACTTGAACAGTTAAAATCTTGTCCCTTCTAACACATTTTGGGCTTGATCTGGTTTTTTATATTTTTGCTTTTTTTTCATACTGGGATTTATCTCTGTTGTATTGTGTCATTATTGGTAACCTTTTTGACTCTTTGTTGTATGTTTTTCTGTTTTTCCATATATGAAACCTAGGCTAGGTGAATCTATAGACATGAGAGCTAGAATACAGGTTCCTGGGGGAGAGGGTATGGGGGGAGTATGGTGGGGGAGGTGGGCAGGTGAAGGGGAGCTGATATTGAGTTGTTCAAGAGGAACAAAATGTTTTGAAAGTGATGTTGGCAACAATTGTAAAACACTGCTTGATTTGGCTGAAATGTGTGATGTCTGGATTCACAACCAAACAAGCTCATGCCATCAAGTCAGTGCTGACTCCTAGCGCCCCCCTGCGGGGGTTCTGAGACTCTGACTGGTTTTCAGGAGTAGAAAGTCTAGTTTTGATTCCCGAAGAGCTGCTGGGGGTTTTGAACTGCTGACCTTGCAGTTATGAGCCCAACATGTAACCATGACGCCCTGGGCTTGTAGAAATCACAACTTCCAGGTCTGTGTGCTGACCTGGTTACTCCCCTCTGGACACTTGTAAAACCCAACATAATTGTTGCTTGGATGTTGGACTTTGAAAGACCACAGGGAGGACCATTCCTGTACCCAGGGGCTGGTAGAGTGTTGATGCCAGGTCTTTGTTCTGGTGTGGATACTTAGCATCCATTTCATTTAATCCTCACCATGTGGGTCAGAGGGAGCCCCGGTGGTGCACTGGTGATGAGTTGGGCTGCTAACTGCAAGGTCAGCAGTTCAAAACCACCTGCTGGCTCCTCTGGAGAAAAATGAGGCTTTCTACACCTTAAAGAGTTAGTCTCAGAAACTCACAGGGGCAGCCCCACCCTGTCCTAGAGGGAGGCTATGTGTCAGCATCAACTCGATGGCAGTGAGGTTGGCTTTAGGTGGGTCCGAGTAGGACCGTGCTCCCTTAGGCTTTCTATGGTGAGGTGTTGGAAGGTCGCCCGCCAGCCCTTTTCTCTGAGACACCTTTCAGTGGACTCAAGCTTCTTGGCTGAGTGTGTTAACTGTTGGCACCACCCAAGGCCTCCTGCCACCTCCCAGTCTCATGCTGCTGGAGGGCCTGGGGAAGAAGCCAGGCTGGTGGACCTGGTGGTCCACATGCGCACTGGGATGTGAACTTGCTGGGGTGTGTGCAGAGAAGGAGGTGCCCTGTTGAGATGGGACGCCCAGAAGGATGCCTCAAAGCTTAATGCCCTGCTGTGTTTCTCTGCGTGGGCAGCCAGCGCAGCAGGTGCTGCCTCAGGGAGGTGTTAATAGGTGGAAGGGAGTGTAAATTTATAAGGTGTGTTTTAAGGCTTCCTTTTGCTTTAAAAACTTCACCTGGGGCAGCAGCTGGCAGAAAGAAGCCTTGGGTTTCTCCACTTTCTGGAGCAGAGGAGCGCCAGGCAGTTCCTGAGAAGCTGAAGGCAGGCCCAGGTGAAGACTCCGGTGGAGGAATGTGTGCTCTGAGACCTGACAAGGGGGTTCCCAAGGGAAGGGGTGGGTGTGTTCAGGCCCCACCGCATTTTTATTATAAACTAGCAGGTGGGTTTTACCTCTCAAGGGCACCTCAGGTAAGCCAAACCCACGGCCACTGAGTGTCTTGCGTAGGTAGGCCTTCCAGGAAGGGAGTGAGTGGTGGGCAGAACCCTGAATTAGGCATCGGAAGTCTTGGGTTCAAATCCTGACGCTTCCACTGGTAGCTGTATGCCCCTGGGCAAGAGACTCCCTTTGGGGGGTCTGTGTCTTAGGCCCTTTCAGATGCTAGTGTGACTGTGGCTTAAGTTCTAGTGACAGCAGCAATGGCTTACCGGTACTTGAGAACTATGAACTGGCCAGGTGGTGCGTGCTCTGTATCAGGACCTCGGCAAGATAAGGGGCGTGGAATCACCTGGGGTCAAGATTCTTGTTTCATAAGTCTGAGCGACCCGAATGTCCACAAGCTCCTGAGAGGCAGATTCAAGAGAACACACTCTGAGTAGCGAGGCTTTGTAGGGTAGGATTTATGATTATTTTAGGAGCCCTGGTTACCCACTGGGACTGCTAACCCACAAGGTCAGCAATTTGAAACCACCAGTCACTCCAAGGGGGAAAGACGAGGCTTTCTACTCCCATAAAGAGTTATAATCTCGGGTAACCCGCAGGGGCAGTCCTGCCCTGCCCTGTGGGGTCTCTGTGACTCAGAATGGACGTGCTGGCAGCCAGTTTGAGGCATTCTGACTTTCAGGTCCAGGAAACCCAGGCTCAGAGATGTGAAATAACCTGCTTTGGGTCATTTAGCCAGCAAGCCAGGTAAAGGGCAGCACTCACCCACCCCCCACCCCCCAATTGCCTGCTGGGTCAAAGCTGGGTTGCCCTGTGACGGCCATATCAGTTGTTCCTTAGGTAGCCCAGGAAGTGGACACCCTAGTAGAGGAGGGGATTCGGGTTCTGTCCCAACTTTGCCTTCACCTAGCTCGGTGACATCCGGCA